ACCTTGATCGGTCAGTTCCCCACCTTCGGCAACGGCCAACTCAACTCCGGGGACTACCAAGTGGGACCCCTTTTGACCTAACCCTCTCATTTTCTTTTTTCTATTGGAAAGAATGGTTTTGCCTTTCGACTTGCGTATTACATTTTACCGCCTGTTCCTTTCTCTACCATCTTTTTAGTCGTCAAATTTTTTTTAATCTTTTATAAGCCACCTCAGCTCGTCCACTTGGTTCCATATGAGCATATTTAACAAAGTTAGGGACATGTCAGCATATTTAATAGTGTTAAAGGTGACACCAAGTCCTTTCAGCATATTTAATAGTGTTAAAGGTGACACCAAGTCCTTTTAAAAATATAAGGACTAATGTTTTAAACGGAGCAAACTTAAAGGACCAAAACTGGAGGTTACAAACTTCAGGGACCAAAACCAAAATGAATGAAAAGTGTAAGGACTAATCATTGTATTAACCCTTTAATTAATTATCTACAATGTGTTTTTAAATTTGTCTTGGTAACAAATATTTTTATCTTATAATCTCACAAATAAACTATTTTTATTTTATCATAATAATTTTAGATATTTTTTAACAATTATCATATTAAAAATATCAAACACTACTATTTAATAAAGTATATGTCCTTTTTAGTCATTTTACAATTGAACTAACTTTTTTACTCATCCAAACAACTTTTAACTTTTCCAACTGACTTTTTAAAAGCACTTATCCAAACATACCATAACTGACTTTTACTCTAACTTCAGTTACAAAAGTCAGTTGGACTAGAAGTCAGTTTTGCTTAACGCCAATCCAAACATACCCTAAGTATGCGAGTCTGTCCCACAACATAAATATTCTATTTTTCAAACCAATTTTTTATATCAAATGGCTGTTTTGTTTCGTAACCTTTTTATATCGATTTGATTCGCATTTCATGTTGTTTCAATGTTTATTTTATTAATAAAAAAATCATATCATATCTCCGAATCTGAAAAAAATAAATAAATAAATAAATGAAGGCGGTTCTTCCACATTTAACGTCTTTTAGTCATTCTTGTTCTTAACATCATGATCTAATGTTATTTTTGTTATTCATCATCCCATTTTTAATACAAGCAATTGTCTCCGGGCATAAAAACAAATACCTAAAATCTGAAATAAATTCAAACTACTCCTCATCCTTTGAGTTAAACTCATACTCCTCTCATTCTATTTATAGAGCAGAGAGATAAGACTTTTCTTGATCCTATTTATAGAATATTGAGAGATTTTTTTTGTATGAATATATAATTTTACCTTTCATTTAATTACTGTGTTGACTTTGTTTATATAAGATATAATATATATTAAATAAGGATAAAATTAAAAAGTTATTAAATTTTAAATAAGAATTAATAAAATTTAAATTTTTTTTTAATCTAAACGAAATATGTTAGGAGTGACTTTTATATATATATATATATATATATATATAAAAGACAAATAACCTGTAACATTTAGGTTACATGACAGCAATCAGCAATCTTGCTGTCACTCCTCACCTTCTGTCTAAATTTTTTAATTGAAAAATAAAAGCATTCAATGCATTAGGTGCTACTCTCAAATACTCTTTTCATTATGTTTATAAGTTATTTTTAATATATTTTATATAAATTTTAAAAAAATCTTAAACTTTATTAATTCTGATTTTAATTTTATTTCTATTTAATTTATATTACATCCAATGAAAATAAAATCAACACAATAATAAATAAATAGTAAAATTATATATTGATGTAAAAAATTTCTTTTTCTGTCCTATAAATAGGACTAAAATTTTTTTTCTCCAATAGCATCAAAAAAGTATAGCCAATATAATTAATGATAGTTAGATTTATAACAAATCAAATTTTAAATTCATGGGTTTATGGTAATATTTTAAATACGATGGTCCATTTGCCTCCAATAAAAAAGTATGCTAACAGGAGAAGAAAAAAGGTAAGGCTGATGTAGCGCATAATGCGATGAGATGCTGCATTGAACAGTTGCTTTGAGTATCACAATCACTCCTGGTAAAAAAAAAAAAAAGAGTATCACAATCACTAGCTATTTATTATTTATTTATTTTCCTCAAAATGCGTGTATTTTTTTTATTCTATCATAAGAATCACAGGCCACGAGGCCTACACCAATCCCAAAAAAAAAAAAATCACGATGATTGACCCGTCACTTTTAATATTGATAGATAAGAAACTTAAAAGACTTGAACATTAGTTTCTTCAACAATGAAAAACGAACATAATTCTTATTGCTTTTTTCAAATTAAAAAAATGCAGCACAATAAACTCTCATTCCATAAAATAGAAGCATCTGAAAAAAAAATTATATAAAATACACAAACAAAAAATAAAAAAGAATGATCAAATATCAATGATTCAATGCCACAAGATCTTCTGGAATGGTAATTAGAATGACTGAATCAATAAGAGACTTCAACTTGACTGTGATGTGGACATTTTTTTCAAATATATAAATTTTACCATATCTCTTAGCAACTTCATGGGAGAACTATAATTTATTATCAAAATAAGATCCTCCACAAGCACAGGAGGTTAGAATTTTATGAAGAGGGAGTCAAATTTCTAACTCATACAAGATTTTAAATGAGAAGTGAGTATTTAAGTGAAAACCAAATCACGGTTTTATACATGATTTTGAATATACGAAATAAGTATGTAAGAAAAATTTTGTCTCGATTTGCATAAAAATATTTTTTAAAAATACTTCTTTAAAAAACCAAACACCTTCTTGTTTCCCCTCTCATTTTTTTTTAAATACCAAATATATGGTAAAAGAGTTTCACAAAGTGATTATTTAATAGCGATCACTAATTTTGTCAAATAAATTTTTTTTTTGGGAAAAGTGAATCAGGTTGCTTGACCTCTAAAATTGGATATATTACAATTGTTTTTTTGTTTTGTTTTATAAAATTTAAAATAGTCATTCCAATAAATCAATGAAGACATCGTATAGCCTGCCAAAACGTGCACTATAATGGTTAATTCATTAAAAAATGCTAAGCCACTTTAAGAATGCATCATAAAGAAGCCTTCTGAAATGCTTTGACGATGACATGAATGCTTGTGATTCACATTTCCTATTAAGCCACGTCGTTTTTACCTTCAACTCTTTAAAAACAAAAATAATTTTTTATGCAAATTTTTTATTATGCACGTAATCAATAAAAACTTTGTCATACGATACAAGTTATTAAAATTTTCTTTTTATACTACTCTGGGTTGAAAAGGAGTATTTATTAATGGGGTCACTTATCGAAAGTCACCAACCAATCATACTAGAAAAGGATTTTCCGAAAAGTAATGTATTTTTAACATATTTCTTAATTCAAAGCTATATTTTTTAATCCTTAACAATTAATTATTTATTTTCATATGAAAGGGTGTGAAAAGGGCCTCAGGGAACAATTTAAAGTTAAAGACACCATATGCAAGTACCTGACGGTAATAATTACATATAATTGCTCAATTTGTTAATTACTATGTTTAGATTGAATAGTAATAGTAATAGTAATAAATTGACAAAAAAGGCATTGTCGATAACAATGATTACATTTTGTCAAAAAATTACTCTTTTTTTCCAACCAAAAAAATTAATCTTTTATGAATACAGCTAATTGATGTTAATATATTACTACCTCCGGTCATAATTATAAGAGTTAGTTAACTAATTTGAGGAGATTAAGAAAGTAAGTTGAATTGGTTATTTGTCATCAATAGGTGTTGTCTTTTCTAAAATATTCTTGCTAATCAAGTGTATTGGCTAAAACTACTATTGTTAGAAGGATTACTTTAGAAAAAAAAAGTATAAATATGAGAGACAAAATAGATTGAGATCTTATATTTAGAATTAAAATACAAGTCAAACAAGGTCTTATATTAAGAATCGGAAGTAGTATATTCCGAAAATATTGATGTGATAGTGACATTTTAAACTTGTACAATCATCAGTAAAAATTGATGGCAAATAAAAAAATCATCATTAAAAATTTTCTTTTTGAAAATAATAAAAGTTACTGCACAAAATTCTTGGAATAAAATAATCCATCCACAATGTGTTTAAGACCGTGACCTCCATATATTATATATATGTGTATATATGTATATATATGTATCTGTGTGCAGTAAACAAATGCTATAATATAAACTCATTTTTATAATCCTAAAAGCAATCTACACAAAAATTTTATTATCAAAGAACAGTACGTGGGCCCCATTCACGTTTTTCGCTCCCTGCTCCCACCCTATATTCCCTCCCTGTATCGGAGAGGCCTTCCGTTTCGTCCCTCTCTTTCTTCCTCGCGGTGCAGTAGCTACTTTGTCCGTTAGCTTGCAGGAGAGAGCTCTGTGTTCAAGTCAAGCAGGGATTACAGCAAGAGCCAAAATTGGCTGACAATCTGAGTACGAATACCTCTATTGTGTTTTACAGTCTTCGCCTTCTCGAGAACCGACTTGAATTTGTGTTCCTCTCGAAAGTGCTGGTGCTTGGAGATGTGAGACTCAGTTGGGTTTCGTGATCCTGTGGCTCAGACTGGACCGTTTCTTCAGTGACCCCACTTTGGTATTCTCTCTTTGAGAGGTATTATAGACGATGAATGCTTTGTCGTTTCCTGTTGTGTGGCATGCGAAGCCTTGTTCAAAATCGACTTCTCCTGCTTCGATTGCATTTCTTTCTTCAAAATTTGAATTTTCTTACGTTTGAACCTTTTCAGCTCGAATTAGGTTCTCTTCTGCCTATCTTGCTTTGCTTAATAGAGCTTCAAGCTTATTTCAGAGATGGCATGGTTACAATTTTGTAAATAGAATGACTCAGTTTGATGATATTCGGTTTTGGCTACCTTTCCAGATTCTGAGTTTGGATCTGTAGTTCGAGTAGCTTGTGTCTTCCAAGAGAGGCTAGAGTATGAGACTATCGTGCTAATACTCGAGCTGAGGAAAGCGGATAAGAGGCAGGGGAACTTCTACTGATTAGAACTTTGAACTAATCGAAGAAATATCTAAATGGCTTCCATAGAGAGCGATGGGGACAGTGATAACAAAGGTAGCATGTGGGTTTTGGATCAGAAGATTGACCAGCCTATGGATGAAGAGGCAGGAAGGCTCAGAAATATGTACAGGGAAAAAGTATGTTGCAACTCGCTTTAACTATTCCCCCCCCCCCTCTCTTTCTCTCGTCCACTTGCACAAAATTCAAATATCCAATGGAGGGAACCGCCAAATGTTACTCAATAATGGGCTGCTTACTAGAACACACAAGTAAATGGTAGTAAACTGGTAATAATCGTTTATTAATAGTACAATATATTTAAGGAATGTAACATGTATACAAGTGTAATCAATGTAGCTCTCCCTACTATCTTTTTCCGGGTTGGTTATCAATTTTCCTTCAATTAGATGTTGGATTTTGGCTTGAACTCCTAGTTATTCATTGGTATGCTATTCAAATTAACTAGGTTTATTACAAGAGATACACTGCAGCAATATATATGTTCTGTGGTCAATAATTTCAAAGTTAAATATGATTTATGGATGTGAATTTGGACGCTACATGAGCAGTCAAGTGAGTGATTGAAAAGTAAATTTTATTTTAGATCTTCTAATTAAATTGTAGTGATCCAAAAGAAAAATATTTGGTCATTTACAGGCATACGAGTTATAATTCCTTGCTGATGTTTTGATTTGTTCAGAAATTTTCTGCACTATTACTTCTGCGGCTTGCGTATCAGAGTCTTGGTGTGGTTTATGGAGATTTGGGTACTTCCCCTCTGTATGTTTTCTACAATACGTTCCCTCAAGGAATTGACGATCAAGAGGACATTATTGGGGCTCTTTCTTTGATTATATACTCTCTCACTCTGGTGCCACTCCTCAAATATGTTTTTGTTGTATTAAGAGCAAATGACAATGGCCAAGGTATAGTGTTTTTTAATTTTGAAGCTCTTTTATTGATTATATGTTCTCTCACTCTGGAACATAATCTTTCATTGATTAAGAGCAAAATGATGGTAGCGAAAATATGGACAGTTTTATTGATTTGGTCTTAAGGTATTTAAGCTGGATTAGGACGTGTTTAGTATTGCATTTAGAGTTGCTGCAACAATAAGGTCTAGTTCAAATCATAGTCAATGCCATCAGGACTTCTGCAGCCCAGGTTCTGCAGAAGTAAACTATCTCATCTTTCATAATAATGTTTGACTGATTTAATTATTAAAATATATAGATATCTTAATTTTAAAACTTGTACTTCTTGCTTAGTTTAGTAAGGAAGGATACCTAAGGATCTTTAAAGTTACTTCTGTCAAAAGGACCAGTCTGGATCCCAGCAATTATTGTTTCTAAACCCTCTCTAGTACCTTGAGGTGATTGTGTTTTAGATTTATTTATCTGTTCAGCGCTGCTGTGCTGCAATTGAGTTTTTCCAAACTGATACACTTGTGGTGCAGGTGGTACTTTTGCACTTTATTCCTTGCTTTGTCGGCATGCTAAAATAAAAACAATTCCTAATCAGCATCGTACTGATGAGGAGCTAACAACATATAGTCATTCTACCTTCCATGAAAGGTCATTTGCTGCAAAAACTAAAAGATGGTTAGAGGAAAATGCATTTAAGAAGAATGTCATTCTTGTTCTTGTCCTTGTTGGCACCTGCATGGTGATTGGAGATGGTATACTTACCCCTGCTATATCAGGTATCTTTTCCATCTTATTCTGATCTTCTTGTTCCCATTTATCCTTTTTTCTTTAACTGTCAACATACTTGCTAGATTTGTTTTTGTATATAATGAACGTGCAGCTTCACCACACTGAAATAAAATAAAATCTTGGAAAGAGAGAAGTGGCACGCCACAGGCTTATAATTAAAATTATTCTGATGTTGAATTACTTTATAGATTATGTGGAACTAGTTGAAATGGTAACGCAAACTGATTCAGTGTTGGAGCTTGAAAGGGACCAAAAACAGATGGTCTTAATACATCCCTATTTAAATTATTTTTTTTCCTTTTTGGCGTATTTATTCCTGGTTTTTTTTTGGAGGGGGGATATGGTTGTTTATTATGCAAAAGACCATTCTTTTCTTTTCTCTGGATGCCTCACCTATTTCCATGACCATTGCCCTTGTGGTTGCCAAATAAAATTACAGATACTCTTATATTTCTCCCCTACATTTGGTGCTTTGCTCTTAATAATCTATTCCATTGGCCACTATATGATAGAGGAAAAAAATGTCATCTGATGTTAACATCTTGTGTATTGTTGGAATCTAATCAAAATACTTAGAATTGCTCTCTCAAATATATATATTTCACTCAAAACCTGTAATGCTGCAGTAATTTGTGACTACGGAATTTTAAGTCTCTGTTTGATTTGCTGTTATATTTTATTAGCTTGTTTTCATTGTGATGAGATGTGTGATCTGGTTCTGAAATTAAGTGTGTGCGCGCACGTGTGTATATATAAGGGAAATTTGATGCATGAAGTTAATTGGAGCCTTGGAATCCTAGTACCTTGATATCTAACTCCAAGGTTCTGTTAAAGTGTTCCTTAATCCTTATGTATTGGCAGCCTTATTAGGAAGGATTTAAAAACGAACATTTTAAGAAAAATAAACTGCATCTTATTGATAAGTTTTCCATGCAACAACAACAATGACAGCTACAAGTCTTATCTCACTGGGTAAGGTTGATTACATTGGCTTGTTTTGGAATGGTTTATAGGTAGCTTTTCAATCATAATTTACGAAATATGAGATAACTATGTGAAAAGAGTTTTATTTCGGCTCACATGAAATGTGTATAAGTGACTTTGATCGTGATTCCAAACAAAGCCATAGATTGCATGATGTCATTATGTTCTATCAACCAACTTTGTAAATATACTGTTCACCAGAAAGTTCTGTTCTATAAAAGAGTCATTCTTGCTTGGTTGAAACTCTTTAAGAAAATTTTTTCGTGCAAGTGAAGAAAATCTTTTCATTGCCTGGTTGCTAATTTTTTGTAAGGTTTCTTAGAATAATTCATGCGGTTAAGTACCTATCCCGTCTCTGATTATGTTGATACCTTTGCCAAGAGAAGGATTACCATACCCCTACCATAACTTTAATAAGGAAGAGAAAGCCATGGTAGACACGGAGATAATTTTATCTATTGTTTGTTATAACTGATGCCGTTAACTTGTCCCAGATCTTCAACTGCCTTGAAGTCTTGGATGGGTTAAACTTTGAAGCTTAACTAGATTGCTTTTCTGTTTCCCAGAAGGTGGGCATGCACGTGCTATGCCCTTATGGTGCTTACTTAAAACGTCATTCCTCATGGAGGAATTTATATGAGAAAAATATTAACATGGGTTCGGAGAACATATGTATTTCCGATTTCAAACATTCTACAATGTTTTTATTAAATATGTTTAGCTGCTAGAAGGCACAGAAAATTAGATTTCGGTGCAATGACTTTGATTAGTAAGCTTTTCTCTTTTTTCTTAAATATCACCTTTAATAAGTCTCCAGTTGTACCAATTGACCTACAAACGTTTTTTCTGTTGTAGTTTTATCAGCTGCTGGTGGCATCAAAGTGAACCAGCCTGGAATGAGCAGTAGTATGATCTCATACCATTTTTCTTCTACTTCTTCATTTTGAAATTAAATCCTTGTGGGTTTCAAACGAATTTAATTTCCTTGTTGTGTAAATCTTCTCTCTTTCTGGTGAGCAGATATAGTTGTGCTGGTTGCTGTGGTAATATTAGTTGCTTTATTCAGCATGCAACACTATGGTACAGACAAAGTTAGCTGGCTCTTTGCTCCGGTTGTCCTTCTCTGGTTTCTTCTGATTGGGGGTATAGGTATATTCAACGTCTGGAAATATGGCACGACCGTTCTAAAAGCCTTTTCACCTGTGTATATCTATCGATATTTTAGAAGAGGAGGAAAAGATGCTTGGACTTCCCTCGGAGGTATCATGCTTAGCATAACAGGTAAACTAAGTGTTATTTGTATGTATTTCCTTCTTTCCCAGAATCATTAATATATGTATTTCCTTCTTTTTCAGAATCATTAATAAAGGAAGTAAATGGTACTTTATGTTTTAAACAACTTGCAATGATTTATTGCAGGGACAGAGGCTCTTTTTGCCGATCTAGCTCATTTTCCTGTTTCAGCTGTACAGATCGCATTTACTCTACTTGTGTTCCCCTGCCTTCTTTTAGCTTATTCCGGACAAGCTGCTTACCTAATGAATAATATGGGTCATGCGCAAGATGCTTTTTATCGCTCTATTCCAGGTTTATTATATTTTTCAGTCTCTTGAATTTGTGCTCGTGGGCCACATGAGCTTGTCATATTTAGAATTTTTTCAACAACTTCCAAATTAGTTATTAGCAATTTTAACTAGAAATAAATGAATCAAAACACCTGGCCAAAACTGCTTGTGTGATTGCATCCAGTTTGCGGGATTCCTACTTAGTTTTCTGTTTTATGGAGATGAAGCCATTAGTAGATTTTTTTTTTTTTTTAAATTAGAATGATGCTGCTCTAATTCTTCATGCAGTAAATGTTCATTTGTAAAATGTTGAAGTTGATTATCCCTAGTTTTGCAGATAGAATATATTGGCCAGTATTTGTTGTAGCAACAGCGGCAGCTATAGTTGCAAGCCAGGCCACAATAACTGCAACCTTTTCAATTATCAAGCAAGCCCTAGCACATGGTTGTTTTCCAAGAGTGAAAGTTGTACACACATCGAAGAAATTCCTTGGCCAGATATATATTCCAGATATTAATTGGATCCTCATGATTCTTTGCATCTCTGTTACTGCTGGCTTCAAAAATCAAAATCAGATTGGAAATGCATATGGTAAATTTTTCCCTCCCCTTGTCTGAGGCATATATTTTCTGCTATTGATTAAATGTTGAATGTGAATTTTAATCTTATGGTTTAAGACAAGACAATCTGATACTCAAATGATCTTGATGCCAAAAAATTACAAGATGTCTATGCATTAGTAAGTACTGCACCATTAATAACTCACTGTCCATTCAACAACAAAATTGATTTTCTTTCTGATGAAATATGCATAATTGATGGTGGCAAAAATAAAAAAAAGAAATATGCATAACTAATTTGCGATGATCAATTTCACGTCCATGGTGTTGTATCCGCTGCCTCTATCAGCAAATTTTGACAAAAGTACCCAAAGATCCCAGCTATGCTTATGTAAGTTAGCTGTTCCCTAAATTTGTGAGAAAATATATTATTATCAGGGATTGCATTAGCTGATAAGCAATAAGCCTTGACCTCACTTCACTATCTTTGACTCTATTATCCATCCCAACTAAATATATTTATGTTCTGCGGATCTTTATGTCTATTCATGCACTAACATGAAGGCCCATAAGTTGAGAAAAGAAGGTTTAGGAGAGGACTACCCATAAGTTGTGTTATACTTCTGTTTTTTTTTTTTTTTTTAATTACTAAAATTCCCTTCACTAACCTAAATGCATATTTTTAATGTTAAGTTTAATGGAAAAACCTTTTTTTTTTTTTGTGCATACATGAGAAAACAATTATTTGGTAATTTTTTTATGTAACACATATTTACTTATTAAAGTTGATGAAGGGTGCTTTAGTAAACAGAATAAAATCATACTAAAATGTATTTTTTAAAAATAGATTAGACATCTAAGTAATTTTAACATAACTTAAGGGAGGTCCATGGAAAATAAAATAAAGAAAGGAGACAGAATATCCTTTTTTTTTTTAAAAACAAAACGAGACAAGCTAGGCTTGAAGAAAACAAAGACTCCAGAAAGGGACTAGACTAACAACCCAACAAGCTTGACAGAGCTAACTAGCGAAGCCATTTGGCTTATCCAGCTGAACACAGTTATTTATTATGATGGCCTGTCACCCATGGTGCTCGCAAGTAATTGACTTCTGATGAAAAGACAAAATAAGGCTCGGTGTGAATTGTCAATGCTGTAGACTTTGTTGGAGCTGCCGATTAACATACTCCCCAACTTGAAGGAAAAGTGTAGGAGGACGGAGTGAAAAGAACTCATGCCTAGCGCACATGTAACTTCGCAGTTTTATTATTTAGTATTTCTCTTAATATTAGTTTTTATTCATGCTAAAAGTCATCATCTTGTTAGATTTATATTACATTTAAAGTTTTTAAAGTTTGATAGGCTGATATTTTAGCATCCCACCCATTAATTTATGTATGGCTTGAATATTTAAAATAATAAGAATATGGAGGCATCAATAAACTCCTGAAATCCTTCAAAACAACCTGCATTTTAGGGAACTATTTGATGCTCAATGACTTGTTATTTTACTGCTGCACGTGTAACTTATTTCATACCTTTTTCAAGCATCCGATCAATTCATTTGTATCACTGTCATGACAGGTACTGCAGTTGTGATAGTTATGCTGGTAACAACATTGCTTATGATTCTAATCATGATATTAGTATGGCGCTGTCACTGGATTCTTGTCTTCATCTTCACTGGCTTATCACTGATCGTGGAATGCACTTACTTCTCAGCTGTTCTCTTCAAAGTTGATCAGGGCGGGTGGGTTCCCCTAGTAATTGCTGCAGCATTTCTTCTTATTATGTATGTTTGGCATTATGGCACTGTGAAGCGCTATGAGTTTGAAATGCATAGTAAGGTCTCAATGGCATGGCTTCTTGGGCTTGGTCCAAGTTTAGGGCTTGTCCGTGTCCCCGGGGTTGGGTTAGTCTACACAGAGCTTGCAAGCGGAGTACCTCACATCTTTTCCCACTTCATCACCAACCTGCCAGCTCTCCATTCTGTTGTTGTTTTTGTATGTGTCAAATACCTCCCTGTCTATACTGTCCCTGATGATGAACGATTCCTTGTCAAGCGAATTGGACCCAAGAATTTTCACATTTTCCGATGTGTGGCACGATATGGCTATAAAGACCTGCACAAGAGAGATGAGGATTTTGAGAGAAAACTCTTTGATAACCTTTTCATTTTTGTCCGGCTTGAGTCTATGATGGAAGGATGTTCAGATTCAGACTACAGTTTACCTGGAAGACAAACGCAGCAGTCAAGAGATGACCTGATGCTAAATAACAACGGAAACACAGTTTCATCTCTGGTGGACTTCACCATTTCATCTGTGGATTCCATAGTGCCAGCTAGATCTCCATTCCATGTAAATAATACTCTAGGGTCCTCTGGTCAATCAAGTGGCCCTACTGAGGTTGATGAACTTGAATATTTGAAAAGCTGCATGGATGCTGGGGTGGTCCACATACTAGGGAACACAGTTGTGAGAGCTAGGAGGGATTCAAAGTTCTACAAGAAAATAGCTGTTGATTATATATATGCATTCCTTAGGAAGATATGCAGGGAGCATAGTGTCATCTTCAATATCCCTCATGAGAGTCTTCTAAATGTTGGTCAGATATTCTATGTATAGCCTTCCCCCTCCCTGTCTCTTTATTTGGTCCATGATCAATAAGATGTATCATTCGAAACTGCCGTTTTGTGCACAGTTGAGCATAGTGTAGAATATGGCAATCGTGTTACAAATGGAAGCAAACGGCTAGAGAAGAATGGATTAGGGCAATTTCATGTTGAAACTCCTAAATCTCAAGTGGCTGGCCAGAATGATCCCTTGAATATTCCTTGGATATTGAGCATTGTATGCATGGTGAGTCGCTTGAGCCCTTCAGATGTGAGAGAGATCGCTCTTCTTTCAAGTCCATTATCATTGAGTGGCACCAAGTGTAATGGACCATAATCTCTGGTGTCTTATTTTGTTTTGAAGCATTGATTTAATTTTTTTTTTTTTTGGTGGTAAAGACGTAAAGTCATGCATACAGGTTCTTTCATGACTGCCCAATGCCGAGTGGGAAATTTTTGTCCACACCTCTTGTATTTATTTGCGGTAAAAGGAATATATCTAAATGAGTGCATGGTTACCAAACTGGATTTTTTTTTGTTTTTCAGAGTTGTGCTTTCAAAGAGAGGGGTTAGAAAGTACAATCGTGTATAGTCTTTCTTTTTTAGTTGCTTTACTTTAATTATCTTTGTACTGTCAATCTCTTTCGAAGTGTATTATATGCAATTGATTTGTGGTTATGGAAAATATATTAGATTATCCTGTTAAAGTCTAATAAATATTTTGTTGTGAGGTAATATCGCTCGTTTTCACTTTCTCCCTAGGCAGTTTTTTCTTGATATTCCTAATGTCATTTTCTGTTTTCCTTTTCTATGCCATTTTTACATATATCAGAGCCCTTGATTTCTGTAGAGAATTGCACTACAATGTTGCTCTTGTAATTTTCACATAAGAACCTTTGTCCTTTCATGTCCCACATCAAGGACCTCAAGCTGCTACGTGTTCATTTCCCATGAGATCAAGAAAGGGGATGGTGATACCAGTAATTAGTAAATGAGAGAGGAAACAAGGTAAGAAACAGAGTTAACATCAGGTGTGGTAGGGTGAAAATGGACCTACCTTTCCTACGTGGAGCGTTTTTTTTATTTGTAGAATATGGTAAGTTTATGTGGTTTGGTAAAATATGGAAAGTCTGTTTGATCAGACATTTTATTAATGAACATGCAAGTTAATCTACCTTCTTTTTTATTTCTATATCCATCTCTGATTGAATAAGATTCAAGTATCGTCGCACTTAATTGAAAATAATTTTTGTAAGAACATTTTTAAACACACACAAACTGGAGAAATGATAATTAAGCAATAAAAGTCTCTTTTATAATTTACATTTTCAAATTATGATTCAAATTTTAATTCACATTTTAGGGAAGCTGATTGGTCACAATATTTTTTTACTAAAGTATAGGTATCTTCCTATTATCCGAGATACTGTCAGGTATTAAATGTGAGTATCTCTCTCAATAGAAATTCAAATCTTGATTTATCGTATTGTGAGAGACTAGTTTTTTTACTAGACCCGACTCTAGTGCTTGGCCACAATACTTAATTCACTGCATCCGTCTTTATTCTGTCAAGTGGAGACAACGATCATCAGTCGAATCCATTGGGTTCTGTCAGCTGGGCCCTCCGTTGCTATTCTCGGAGTCACTACCATGGCTTTATATATTCCCAACTTTCATATTTTTTCTTTAAATGAAAAATCTATCAAATTCCCAAAATCCAATTTTACCAAATTAAAAATCATGAAAATTTACAAACGATAATTTATTGAAGGATCATATTAGTAGTAATATTAATAGCGGCAATAAATTTCCATGGTTAATAATTACTTTTTTTTTTTATAAGACGAATATTAATGTGTTTCTCATTTGGTCAGAATATTATTACTTTTTTTACCATGCCGGTATTTTTTCCCCCTTAAGAACTTGGCTATTTAGTCAACGCTCCAAAAAGAAAAATGTTGACATGTTATATTTTTTCCTGCCTATTGACAATAATTGGTCAGAGTTCAGCAATGAAGTAATAATTAAATAATTAATTATTTTAGTATTCATAAATTAATTATCTAGTTTTTATATTTATGACGGGAGGGAGTAGCATTTTTATGTTTCAAAAAAAATAGATAAGCCTTTTTTTTTAACCTTCAAAATATTCTTTGAGAAATATCTGTGTTAATATTAATAGATTCAGGAATATATACACACACAAATGAAAGTAAAATTTATATAATAACTGCACCCTAATTATTGAGTGCAGTTTATTTTTTCCCCCCCTTAAACTTGAATGACACTGATTCATTCAAAAGTATCGTTTGAATGAATCTTACTTAACAATTAATTAATAACTAAATTAAGCTCCATTAATTGTCCAAAATAAATATTTCATTCAAGTCAAATTAGCATGTGCATTAAATAATCATGACATCTAACAAAAATATCATTCAATGAGAAAATCTGAATGATCAACTCGACAAATTTGCCTTTTTTTAAAAAAAATAATATATGAATAATTCTGTTCAAATAAATTTATTTAATTGAGAAGGAATGTCACCCATGACTTGGCTACAAAAGGAAAAGAAAACGTTTTTCAAAGCTGGCAGTGAAAAAGATCAAAAGTGAAATTAAAAAATTGGAGCGAACACAAACATTCTCTCTCTAGAAGGGGGGGAAAAAAAACCAATCGATGGCGGCGATGATGAGAAATTGAGAAGGAAGAGCACTTGCTTCTCTCTCTCTCTCTCTGGTGGCATCTCAATCTGAGAAGGAAGGAGGAAGAGAGAGAAACAGAGGGAAAAAGCAAATCACAGAAAAGGAAAGGGAGAATGAAACCTCAACACAAGAAAAGAGAACGAAAATGGGAAGCAAATTCGAAGAGGAGAGAGCAGGAAGAGGGAGCAAAACTCTCCTCGTCGCGCCACGTGGCGGGGCTGGAGTGGTCGAACGCCTTGGAGGGTTCAACAAGAACATCAACAACAACACACCACGCCTTCTCTCTCTTCTCTCTCTCTCTCTCCTGCCATGTCAGAGTGTAACCCCGTCCCATGGGGACTATGACCCCGGCGATTCCGTATTGGGAGTATGCTTTCTCTCTCTAAACAAACACTCTTTCTCTATCTACAAAGACAACATCAACAACACCAACAACTATCTTTTTATTTTCTCTCTCTCTCTCGCTTTCTCTCTATTTTTCATTTGTCTGCCCCCCCTCCTTTCGTTCCTCGCTCGCTTCTATGCCCTAATCTCCCAACCACTGTCTACTTTCCATTTCCCAATCTGATGCAATCTATTTGATTCATGCTTTTTGATCCACCTGCAAGATTATATGTTTTTTTGTTTCTTTGCTGTCTTCTCGTTTCGCTGTTTAGCTAATCTATCCCGGAATGCCCTGTCTACTTTCCTTAATTGGTAAAGCTATTTACTTCATGTTTTTGCTGCCAAGTTGTTGCTTGTTTAATTTGTTTCCTTTGCTGTTTCTCTATCGGTTTTAGCTGAATTTTTGGTATCGTTATTTGTTGCCCGGAATCTATCTGTCTCCTTAATTGGTAAAGCTACTTCACCTGTAATTGTAGTCTTTGCTGCCAAGTTGCTGTTTTTAGTGAGCAGCTTTGGCACTTGGATTTCGGAGTAGTAGTTCCTGAGTTGAATAGTTGCTTAAATTTAAATGGGGTTTCTATCTATCTAGTGTGAGTTCAGTGTGCATAATGCCCAACTAATTGCGAGTTAATTGTTGAATTATATATTTTCTGTTTTTGTGGTGTGCTGGAGCATGCATTCACTAGTTGTTGAAGGTAGACGTGTCCTGAATTCAGCACATTTTATAGATGGTGGATGACAGGGGCACCACAGTAGTCAGTTGATGCTAGAATAAATAATCTGATCCTGCTTTGAATACGGATTATATATGGATACAAGCATAATTGCTAATACTATAAGATCTCTAGTTATTTCCCCTTGTGCATTTGCAGTCTTAGGATACACAGATTCATTTTTTTCCCTTGGAAATCCATAGCTTTTAAGCCTGCATTTTGGAAGAAGCAAAGTGCTAATTTTGTTCCTGTATTATCAGGCCTATTTAAATTTAGCATGAAAAATTGTGAGTGCGGGGATTAGTGTTTTGTTGTTTTCAAGGAGTAATGTGCAAAGAGTTTTGCTGTTTTCAAGGACTAACTTCACTCACTAATTTTTGAGTTAAACTCTTTGCACCTGCCAATTATGTTTTTGGAAATTTCTCCTGCTTACTATTAGTGTAACTGCGGAAATTGGTGCAGGCCATTGATTTATTATTTGCATAATTTAAGGAAATGCATATTTAATCTCTTTTGAAAGATATACCTTTTAAATTGACCAGGCGCGAATATTACCCAGTTTAGATGACAGAATTCTGACTTTTTATTTCTTTCTTTTGTGGAATTTCTGAAATTGTTCATTATCAAGCAAAATATTATATTTTCTTTGATATCTCCTGTGCATTTCTGGTGAAAACTTTTGTTTCTTTACTAACCCGTTGCTTTTTCTCTTACCTTTGATTCTGTTGTTTCTGATGTTCAAAGAAGCTTAGTATTGCCCTTATTTTTAAACCAATAACATTTTTAGGGGATCATGTTACTTCTTAAACTGAGACCAATTTATGAACATTAAATTTGAGATGGAAGGCCTCCAAATATTAACAGAGCACTGTTATATGTGTTAAGAATAACCCTTTTGATGGCAGCATAATATTGATAGGAGCAATGAAGGAGTCAAGACAGTTGAATTATGAGATTTTGTGTTTTGAACTTAAGAAACACTATTAAGTCATAAAGGCAGGATAATTGTAGACCTTGGCACATGCTTCCTGGACTTAGTCAGGCCAGGATTTCTGAATGTCTCAGATGTTGAGAAAACATAAATTGAAATACCTATGATTCTTGACGTAGTTGGGCCCAACATAAAATGTATGAATATTTAATTTCACATTTTACAGCTTTCTCTAAATGGAATAAATTAAATATTTAAACCAGGCATTGTGATTATGCTGTTTCAATTTTTTGGTTTCTGCACTGCGAAACTGTCAATACTTGTATAAAGTGTACCAGTAAAAGGCCTGTCTTAATCATTTGTAGATTCTCTTATGTATTGAATTTTCGTTGTCCTGTGGCATGCTGATAGTTAAAAGGATTGATTTCTTATATAGGACCTTTATATGAATAATGAGGGAGAACAAATCATCAAGTAAAATGATCAACAGAAACTGGGTTTTAAAGCGCAAACGGAGAAAACTTTCATTTGAACAATCCAATGGTAAAGTAGACAATTCAATATCACCTGATTCTTCTAGGAACGCCTCAGCAAAACGTTCGCTAAAGACTGAAGTAGCTACTGGTCAAGCTTCCTCTAAGAAGAAAGGAAATGATGGGGTGAGTTACCTTTCCTTTGAATAATTGATCACATGTACAAGTGGAGGTTTAACCTAAGGATAATATTCAACTTTAAAAATGGAGGAAATGAAAGGAATGTGTGATGGATGATGTTCTTTTCCATTTTAATTAAAATTTAGAAATAGGGATGGATAAAATATCCATCTGCTCTGGGTGGAGATAAAATTTCTCTGCTTGGGCTTGGATCTGGGGATTTTTTTCTTTGGGTATTTTCTGAGTTTGGATCTGGCTAGTATGATACCCACCCTTTTTAGACCATAATATGTGTGTGTTTATTTATCTATCCATATTTATGCAGACGTTTTTTTTCTTGGTTATTTGTCTATATGATCTATAATTAAAATAGGAAGGTACCACCCAACCGGCATTACATGGATTTTGAATTATCAGTTGTTCCTGAAATGATTCTTTTTTTGTGATTTTATATGAACTCATTTGATTTAAATGAGTCTCATTTTCATACAGGCATGTTTATCTTGAAAATTTTCCAAGTAAATGGGATCAGGTCTAAGAATTTAATGGTTTAATTAGGATGGGGAATTTCGTGCTTGCTAAATTTTATTTTGGACATAGGGACTGTGTTACCTACCCAGAATCATCTCTAGTTGGAAATAGAAAGTGTTGAAAACCAAACTTTTGAAGAGGGCACAATCTATAGAGTTATAGTTATTTTAATGCATCAATTTAGTGTGTGTGTGTGTGTAATCTTATTTTTTATTCTTATGACTGCACTAACTGTGATGTCTTAAATTTTTGGATCCAGTATTTCTTTGAATGTGTGATTTGTGATCTTGGTGGAAACTTATTGTGCTGTGATAGCTGTCCTCGCACATATCATTTGCAGTGTCTTTCTCCACCTCTTAAGGTATGTTCATTGGAGCCAATATAAGGTTGTTTGTCAATCATTAAGTGGTGATATTCAGAATCGACTTTTAGTCTAAACTTCATTTCTAATTTGTAATTTATCCTCTGAAGCGCATCCCTATGGGGAAGTGGCAATGTCCAAGCTGCTCTCAAGGAAATGATCGACTGAAGCCCATAAACCACCTGGATTCAATTGCAAAACGAGCCAGGTCAAAAGTTGTCACTGCAAAAGCAAAAGATGGAGTTAGTTCACTTAATATAGGCAAAGTATCCCAGATATTTGGTAGCACACTAATATCAAGGAAAAGGTCTTCCAGCAAAGGCAAATCTATTTCAAATGGGGGAGACAAGTTCTTAAGAAAGGAATTGTTGTCTTCTCCAGTAGATGTAACTAGTATTAACAAGCCAAGTGATCCATCTCTTGGGATTTCGATGGAGGGAACTTCATCGTGCGCAGATGCTGGTGAAGAAAAGAAACCTAACACTCCCCCAACAGTCTCTCCTGTTGATAGGAATTCAACCTCAACTGCTGACGAAGTTTTGTCAACTCCTAAAATTACTAATTTAGATGCAGATGATCAACAGGTGGGCGGGAAGCCTGATTTATCTTGTGATGACATGCCTCCAAGAAAACAACTTGTTCTTGGAATTGCTGCTGCTGGAGGGAAGTTAGAAAAAGGAAGCATGAGGCTAATAATAACATCAGTAAAAAGAAGTTCAAGATTGAAAAGGGTAAATCTACTGGCAAGTCTTCTATGAAGGGCAAATCCGGAAAAAATAAAGTGCACAAGAAGCAGAAGTCTGTAAACAGTAGTGTTTCTGCATCTTTATCAAAAGAGGAAGTTGGAAACAAGGACTCTCATGCTGAGCTTAAAGATGAGGTATTGATTTTACTTCGGATTTTTCTGTTTAAGTAAGTGCATAATTATTTCACGTGGCATCCAACTGTGAATGATGAACTGTTTGTGATAGGATGAATAATGCTACCTGATCCAGTTATACTATTTTGACTCCCTATTCTTCTTGAGTTGTTCCCTTTGCCTCAGTCATTCCTAATTAGAATTATCAAGGACCTATACATCTTAAAAGCTTATGCTATAGGAAGAACATTTGGACTGGCTTTTACTTACTATCTCTCACATCTTGAGATCTCTTTGGGACTGAGTGTCAAAATTTAGGAGAAACAAAGGCCAATGATGCATTTCACTATAATTTATTTTGCTAGAGACTATCAAAATCAACGTCATCTTGTTATATTTTTTTATTTAGATGTGAATTCATCTGCTGTGTCTTCGTGTTGACCTCCCTTTTTTTTTTCCCAAGACATCCTTGTTAGTTTCAAGTGCCTATCCTTGTATTATACCTGTCTTCCTTTCATGTGTCGGACCTAACATAGACAATATATAGTTGTCCTTACTGTCAGATGACTATTGGTGTTGAAACTGGGCCACCTATATGCACTCAGCTACATGTGGGACAAGAGTACAATGCGAAAGAATAACTTACGTTCTATCTATCAGATATTTATTATATGGAAAATAGATATTTGCCTTGATTGTTTCACTGGAATTGGGACAATGGAAGTGGAACCAAAGATGGAACTGTTGTAATTGTTTGTTTGGTAAGATGGAAGCTAATTGTTTTCCACCTCCACCAAAATCGGTGGAAGTGGCTTCCATGCTCAACCCTGTGAAAGTAGGAAGAGTTCCATGGAACTCATTTTTAGAGAATTTTATGCTCAACCAGCAATATTTTGGACAATCTCTCCCCTCACAACTTTGTCTCAGATTTAGCCTGCATTGACCATAGTGGTCAATGATGACGACAATGGCCAAGAGCAACAGCGGTTAGTAATGATCCTGGGAGATGACAATGATGTCCTGAGACACCTTATGTGATCCTTCCACCAACATTTGATGTAGTCTTCGAATGAGGTGGTGACGGACTGCTATGTTGCTGATGACATTGTGTTGAAGACCTTGCAATAAAGATGCTGACCAAAGATGCGAGGATGAAGTTTGAAGAACCAACAACCTCTGTCATTGAACCCAAGGCAGTTTCTCGTTTGTTTCAAAGACCTACTAGGATTGGTTTTGATATGTCCAGATCTTGATTTGTTCAATTTCATGATTTCTGGAGTGTTGTCTGATTTCAGTAGCAGTTCTTTTTTCGCCCACTTTGTGTTCGATGTCTTTTTCTGCCTTGCAATCTTTTTCTGGTTTGATAAAGCATCGATTTCTTGGTTAGACTTATGGGCTGTGGTTCTCATTTCTGGCAGTGGAGGTGCTGGAGGGCTGATGGCTGTTTTGTTTTTCCTTTATTGAAAAGGGATATTTTGGTTTTACTATTATAAATATATATCTCTAATAAAAATTATATAACGATTCTTCTCTCATAATATACAAAACATATTTCATCCCCATTTCCCCTTCCTCTTCCACTTCCACTTCCCCCCTTTCAAAACCACTAATGGATACCAGACAGAGTAATAGAAAATTCTTCTCATTTTTTCCCCTAAAACTATATTGAAAATTATTCCTCGAACCTGCAGAAGTAATGGGCAACAAATTTTCAAGATTTTGAAACAAAAATGCCAAGCATGTCATTGTGATTGTAAAAACATTTGTTTGCTTGTAGCTTTAATTCTTGATAACTACTACTGCATGCCTAAAGCGCCTAAAAAAAGCAGTCGTGTACCCATTCAGCTTAGCGTCAGACATGACATGACACTTGAAAAACTACTTGGACTCTTGGATCCTTTTGTTGCTGCATACAAGTGTGTTTTCACCCTTGATATGTCAACTTTTTGAGTTTTCCCATGTCTCATTTTCGGCTTTGTCAATTTAGTTACTGATTACTGATGTTTTTATTGCTGTCAATTACTCTTTTGTGATATTAATGTCACACATTTGTGTTTATAAATACAAATTGTTTCTCTGTGGATGCAGAAGTTTCCTCAGGCAAAGAAAAATAAAGTATGTGAGCTTGATAAGGCAGTAAGTCATGTGGATGAAACTCTAATACATGAGGACAATACTGTCGGTGAATCTCTTCAGGTAATGAAGCTTATGTTAATACTTAGTTTGCATTAATTTGATGGAGATGGTATTTTCCCTGGGTTCTTGCCAGTGATGATCATGACTGATTTTGTAGTTTTTATTGTGTATGCGTCACAGGTTGATCGAGTTCTAGGGTGTCGAGTTCAGGATAAGAACACAAATTCATCACAGAGCTTATCTGTGGCTGTCATGGATGATCTACATTCTCATGATCTGCCAATCCCAGAAAGTGGAGGCACTCAAGATCTGCCAATGCCAGAAAGTGGAGACACTCGGGATCTGCCAATCCCAGAAAGTGGAGGCACTCAGGATCTGCCAATCCCAGAAAGTGGAGCACTCGGGATCTGCCAATCCCAGAAAGTGGAGCCACTCAGGATCTGCCAATCCCAGAAAGTGGAGCCACTCAGGATCTGCCAATCCCGGAAAGTGGAGGCACTCAGGATGCGCCAATCCCAGAAAATGAAAACAGACTAGAAGAGAATAGCTCTGCTTGTGGTAATGCTGTGAATGTTGAAACTGCTGAAACTATCCCAGATGATTGTCAAAATGTTGTCAAGATTGCTGATAAAGAAAGCTTGAAAAACAATAATAAAGGGGAACGACTTAATGTGTACAGAAGATCAGTGACAAAAGAAAGTAAAAAAGGCAATCCCATAAATTCATTGAGTAAAAGTCCAGGTGATTTAGATTGCAGTGCCACAGATAGTAAAAATCATGATGATTCTGCAGCTAGTGCTGAGTATTTAACAAAAACTAATGACAAGATGGAGGTTGTGGAGGATGTCAACGCTACTTCAAGAGGTGAGGATAATAGTGAGCTTCTGAAAAATTGTGAAGCACAGGTCTCTCCCAGAACCAAACTGAAAGAGGTTAATTGTGAAGCACAGGTGTCTCCCAAAACCAAACTGAGAGAGGTGGATGTAGATGTGGGAACGAGTAGCACTGTTGCTACTAAAGTTCAGAAAGCTAATGTGGCTGAACCTTCCAGTCTAAATCAGGAGAAAGTCTTCTATGAATTTTTGGTTAAGTGGGTAGGAAAATCACATATTCATAATAGTTGGATTTCTGAATCCCAGTTGAAACTTCTTGCAAAGAGAAAATTAGAAAATTACAAGGCTAAGTATGGGACAGCGATAATAAATATCTGTGAGGAATGTTGGAAGCAGCCTCAACGGCTGCTTGCCATCCGGACATCAAAAAATGGAACATCAGAAGCATTTGTAAAATGGACTCGACTCCCTTATGATGAATGCACTTGGGAAAGCTTAGATGAACCTGTTCTTCAGACTTCTTCGCATCTACTTGGTCTTTTTAACAAATTTGAAACCCTTGCCTTGGAAAGGGATGCATCAAAGAATAATTCAACTAGGAAAAACAATGACTATCAAAATGATGTAGTTAATCTTACAGAACAACCTCATGAGCTAAAAGGTGGTTCTCTGTTTCCCCATCAGCTTGAGGCTCTGAACTGGTTGCGAAAATGCTGGTGTAGATCCAAAAATGTGATACTTGCGGATGAAATGGGGCTTGGGAAAACAGTATCTGCTTGTGCCTTCATTTCATCATTGTATGTTGAATTTAAAGTTGTACTGCCTTGCTTGGTCTTGGTCCCACTTTCCACAATGCCTAATTGGCTTGCTGAATTTGCATTATGGGCTCCAGACTTGAATGTTGTGGAATATCATGGCTGCGCAAAAGCAAGAGCCATAATTCGCCAGTATGAATGGCATGCTAGTGATCCCAGTGGATTGAATAAAAGAACTGCTGCCTATAAATTTAATGTTCTTTTGACTACATATGAAATGGTGCTGGCTGACTCTTCTCATTTGCGTGGAGTTCCATGGGAAGTTCTTGTGGTCGATGAGGGACATCGACTGAAAAATTCTGAAAGTAAGCTTTTCAGCTTGCTCAACACATTCTCTTTTCAACATCGTGTACTGTTGACTGGTACCCCTCTCCAGAACAACATTGGTGAGATGTACAACTTACTCAATTTCTTACAACCGGCGTCATTTCCTTCTCTTTCTACATTTGAGGAGAAATTCAATGATCTTACAACTGCTGAGAAAGTTGAGGAATTGAAAAAACTGGTTGCACCTCATATGCTTCGTAGGCTAAAAAGGGATGCAATGCAAAATATTCCACCCAAGACAGAAAGGATGGTTCCTGTTGAGTTGTCATCTATCCAAGCTGAATATTATCGTGCCATGCTGACAAAGAACTATCAGATATTGCGAAATATTGGGAAAGGGGTTGCTCAGCAGTCTATGCTTAACATTGTGATGCAACTTAGAAAGGTCTGCAATCATCCATATCTCATACCAGGAACTGAGCCTGATTCTGGATCAGCTGAGTTTCTTCATGAAATGAGAATAAAGGCTTCGGCCAAATTGACTCTTCTGCATTCTATGCTGAAGATTTTACATAAAGAAGGGCACAGAGTCCTTCTTTTCTCACAAATGACCAAGCTACTAGACATCCTAGAGGACTATTTAAGTGTTGAATATGGGCCTAAAACTTATGAGAGAGTGGATGGCTCTGTTTCTGTGGCTGATCGTCAAGCAGCAATTGCACGCTTTAACCAAGACAAAAGTCGATTTGTGTTCTTGTTATCCACTCGATCCTGTGGTCTTGGGATAAATTTGGCAACTGCTGACACTGTCATTATCTATGATTCTGATTTCAATCCACATGCTGATATCCAAGCAATGAATCGTGCACATAGGATTGGACAATCAAATAGGCTTCTGGTATATCGGCTTGTTGTTCGTGCCAGTGTTGAAGAGCGCATCTTGCAACTTGCTAAGAAGAAGCTGATGCTTGATCAGCTTTTTGTAAATAAGTCTGGATCTCAAAAGGAAGTAGAGGATATTTTAAAATGGGGTACTGAAGAACTCTTCAGTGACTCTCCTGGTCAGAATGGGGCAAATGGAAATGATAATAATAGCAACAAAGAAGAGACAGTTGTAGATATTGAACACAAGCATCGGAGGAGGACTGGTGGTCTGGGAGATGTATATAAGGATAAATGTACAGATAGCAGTAGCAAGTTTGTGTGGGATGAAAGTGCAGTTTTAAAATTGCTTGATCGTTCAAACCTTCAGGATGGATCAAATGATGTTGCTGAAGGAGATTCTGAGAATGATTTGCTGGGTTCAGTTAAGGTGAAGTGTTTATTAAATACCTAATCTTGGATTCATTAGTTGATTGTTTGTGCTAAATTTGGTCATTTGGGGCATTGTGAAAGACATGAACCTTCTTTTTTTTCTGACCACTCATTTTTAGAACCTTTCGAACCCCCATCCTAGGTGACTTTTTCTGGGGTTATTACTCATTAATACAATGATATATTTATGTTTCAGAATGTATGTTTCAGACCAATTAACTTGGTTTTATATTTTCCTACTCTTTTGAAGTTGCATCCATCACTAGTATGTGCACAAGCTAAATTAAACAGGGAAATTGATTCTGCTGCTCCAGTTTCAGTTGCCCTTGCACTGAATGTTCTGAAGACCTGTTCTCATTAATGTTTCTTTGGAACTTAATAGAAGTTTCCTTATACTGTAAATTGGGATTCATTAGCCGCTAGATTAGTTTAGTGAAGTTTTAATTTTTCCCGTTAAGTTCTGTCTTGGACATTTGTTCAGAGAATGGGATGCTTTTCATGGATTCTTTTTGTAACCCTGCCACTGGCTTAGTAACACAACGTTTCTCTCTTGCATATATAAGAGATTGGGCTGACTGTTGAATATATGTTTTTTGTGGTTTTTTTGGTTTCCTGTCCTCCATTCTTTAGTTTACCTTGTAGGATGGCCTTATCCTCACTTATATTTTTCTTTTTCTCCCAACAAAATATTTTCTGTTTAAAAAATTGCATCTCCATGACTAAGCATTTAAATAGATACTGAGAATAAAGATGATACCGCTAGTTATTCTGATTGAAATTTGCTTTTTCTTAATCAGTCCCTTGAATGGAATGATGAACCGGCTGAAGAACAAGGTTTGGGTGAATCACCTCCTTGTGGAACTGATGATATCTCTACACAAAATTCTGACAAGAAAGAGGATAATATGGTGAATGGGACTGAAGAAAATGAATGGGACAGACTACTTCGTGTGAGGTAATGAGCTTCTATCTGGTTGCATCCTTTCTTTATTGTATATTACAACGTCCAACCTCTTAGCGTATGTATAGCACAAGATTAGACGCTTGGTTAGAATTAATGTAATGCCTTTTGAGGGTTTAAGAACTATGAAGAGAACTAGAAGGGGAAAACGGAAAAGAAGGAAAGGAGATAGAGAAAATGAGAGGAACAAAAACTTAGGGCCTGTTTGGATGCTCCAAAACCGTGGTTTCAGAAGCACTTTTCCGCAAAACGAGGTAACCTCCTCCACATATTTACTTCGTAATCCGTAAAAGCACTTCTGAAACCATGGTTTGGTTTCTATCCAAACACTCCCTTAATCATCAATCATAACTGCCATTCATGAGTCAGGACGGATGGGCCAATAGAGCCTGGCTAACTCTGAAAGGTTGTCGTGGATGTTACTAAATGGTCGCTAGCTTATTCTCCCTTCTTATCACAAGCAAGCTAGTGATCTCAGTGACACTTTTCTCAATTCTCTACCTTTCATTCACATGTTGACGCATTTCAACATTTTAACATCTTAGGTTAACTGTGAGCCTCTGATCATCTCATTTTCTAACATGACTACCCACTAAACCCACTTTTTAAAATAGACGGGTCAAGAAAATTTGAAATTCATGTTGCATTTTAGAATAGTTTAGTTATCAAGTAGACTGAATAAACTTGCTTACCTGAAATTACTTCTGAATCTGTTTGGTTTCTAGGTGGGAGAAGTATCAGAATGAAGAGGAAGCAGCTCTTGGTCGAGGAAAGCGGCAGAGAAAAGCTGTTTCTTATAGGGAAGCATATGCTCCGAACCCTAGTGAAACATTGAGTGAGGTGATTTGCTTTCTTTCTGTTTGTAAGCAAAGTGATGGATTAAGACGGATATTATTAGTTATTTATAAATGAATTAATATATATTTATGTATAGGAAATGAGATTTTAATTAAGTTTGGTATTTTATATTATGATGTATTTTATTTGACATATGTTTATTTTAATTATCCATGGATCTTTTGTGAAACTTTGTGATTTGGAAGGTAAATAAATAAAAGCAAAAAAATAAAGGAAAAATCATAAAATAAGAAAATTACTAAAACTACAAATTTCTTAGTTAAATTTTCCTACACCTAGAAGAAGTTTCCCATCGGAGGCTTTATAAATATTGTAGTTTTATGTATTTTCTTATTTTCTAACTTTTTCTTTATTATTTACTTATTTGCTTTGATCTCAAATTCCTACAACACACTTATGTGGAGCCCACATATAATTAAAATAAAAAAAAAATTTAAATAAAACAAAGCGCATTCAAAGTATAAAATTCAGATCCTAATTAAAATACTATTTCTTATGCTGGCATTTTATTTAACCTCACGGCTCATTTATTTTCCATGAATTCTGGTCTCTGCCTGGAGTGAGCGGCTTCTTATTCTGTGGCCAGCGCCTCTATAACATATAGAAAATCATTATCTTCACATTGAGCATCATCTACGTGGTTGTCTAAATCCAAGGATAGCTTTCACAAGATAATTTCAACTAGATTTATGATTATGTTAACTCCCGGATGGAATGATGTGCTTTTAGCATCTTCAATCTTTAAGATTTCTTTCTTGTCCAAGGTACAGTTTCCATCATTCAAGAATAGATCTTGTATAATATTCAAAAGCAACCATGTGGAACTGTAAAAAAGAAGCGAACAAGAAAAATTTTCTTATCATTTTCAATTTTCTGATTGGAATTACCAAAAAGTTAAAAAAGGTTGAAGACTGAGCCTTCAAATTTCTGGATGAAAAATAGCCACTAGCTGCTCAATATCAATGAATTTTTAAAGCACTCAAACTCTTTTAGTTTCAGTGTTCTGAAACTCTTTCAAAACTTGTTGCATGTCCTCCCATGTCAATTAATTACTGAAATTTTAACTGTTATGTGCCTTGTTATCCTGGTGTAATTTACATATGTTAGCATGTTAGTCTAGAAGTGTTCTGCCTCAAAACCTGTCTTGCTAGGGATTTCCTTTTTTTCTTTTTTGGAGGGTGGGTTTTAAATTTCTGGAACTCTGTCTTTATATATTGCATTAATATACAATATTAGTATGGATTTCTCATCATGTCCTCGTTTTGCTGTTGTTCTTATATTTTGCCTCAAGCAGAGTGGTGATGAGCAGGAAAGAGAGCCAGAACCAGAGCCTGAGCGTGAATATACACCAGCAGGACGGGCCCTAAAAGCAAAATTGTATGTTTATGCCTTTTGTCAAGTAAAATTGCTTTGCTGTGGTTAAGCATGGATATAGACGGCGTGCTTGTGGCTGTGTCCTTGCAATTAGACTGGATCCTCGTTATGGCTTCTTTCAGGGCATTTCTCTTGACAGTTTATAGGGGATTTAAAAAACACTATAAATCATCAGACACGGATCTCCTCAATTGCCACTCTCTCGATTGTCCTTCCATTGCATCAAATTCAGCCATTTTTGTTTATCTTACGATTATCAAGGGGCCATATGGCTCAGACTATAATTAAAAGGCAAAGAAACTTGATCATCATTTATGTGCCATGTGGCACATTGGAAATTTTAAGACAAGCATATATGGTGAGATTTGATTTTAGTGGTAATTGAGGGGATCCATATCCCGAATCACCTGATCCTACAAATTCTGTGAATGATTCACAGAGCTTTTACGTCCTTAGCAAGTCCCAAATGTTATAGACAAATCAATCCTGACTGATTAAAAATCCGTGTCACTTGCTTAATCAATTGAACGATAGATGGGTATACTGGTATCCCTCATGAATGTTGTTGCATTGCACGTTTTAACTTTTGGGAGAATGGCGTCTGGGTCTCTTGTACAGGAATTATGGACACTTTGGCCCTTTGAACATATGACCCTTTTGAGATTGACTACTGTGATATACTACATTAACTTTCTGTATTTCTATTTTTGGGAAGTTGGGACCAAAGTATTAATAATTCCTTGCAAGGGACCCAAATGACATTCTCCCTCTAACTTTTCCCTTTGTAATTTTCTCTCACAAGGACTTAGAATCCAATATCTTTCTGCTGGTTTGTGCTGTTAGATACAATTGCAGTTAGCTGTGTCATTATGTGGGCCCTTAATAGTTCTGAAAGACTTGATATTGATGTTAATTTTGAGCAGTGCTAAGCTTCGTGCTCGGCAGAAAGAACGACTTGCATGGAGGAATGCAGTTGGTGGATCTCATCCTGTTGATGGACTCCCTGGAACTGAGTCATTCCTTCAATCTTCTGCCAATGCAAAGAGTGCTGATCTTGGAACTGGACCATCAAATCTAGTTGGGGATGGCCCTGTCAATTTAGAGGAGAACAAATCTGATATGCTTTCAGAAGCTCCGAAGAGCTACTCTGATTCCATGTCAAGAATGGGCAGGCTATCAAAGCACATCATGAGCAGTCACATTGATGCTTCTGTCAATAATCCAGACCATTCTCCACCTCAGTATAAGGGGCTTAACACCACAAACTCTATGGCAACCAGCAACTTGTTACCTGTTCTAGGACTTTGTGCTCCTAATGCCAATCAGGTGAAATCATCAGAAAGCAATCTTCCTAGGTTAAATTGGAGACAAAATAGACGGGGGACCAGACAGGAGTTTCCATTTAGTCTTGCCCCTTCCTCTGGGACAACATCCATGGAGGCTGAGGTCAGAAGTCAAGAAGGAGCAGCAAATGCTAGATTACCAGATTCGCTGGCGCATATTCTGCAGGAGAGTTTCAGGAATAGAATCCCTGATCATAGTCTACCATTTGTTCCTGTAAGTTCTCCTTGCATGCTTTGTATTCATTTTAGATCAATTCTATTTAGGCAGCTTTATGCACGTTGCTTACCATATAAATTATGCGCTTTTTTGTTTATATATATGTACAGTTTCAGCCAGCTTTGCAAGGAAAGGAATCTGATGCACTTGAAGGGGCTAGATTCTCTGCTTTCCGGGAGAAGATGGCCCTGCCAAATCTTCCATTTGATGAAACGTTGCTAGCCAGATTGCCACCCACAACTAAGAACATGCCAAATTCGCATCTGGACCTTTTACCTAATCTGTCTCTAGGTGGTAGCAGCAGCAGAAATGACGCTTCGAGTGGCCCATTACAAGACCTTCCACCGATGCTCTTATTACCTAAATTCAAAATTCCCCCAGAGGACTTGTTCAGATTTAATCAGCAAGATGTGGATGTGCCCCCCACTTTGGGTTTGGGCCAGGGCCCAACATCCACATCGTTCCCAGAAAACCATAGGAAGGTGCTTGAAAACATAATGTTGAGAACTGGGTCTGCCTCAAGTAGCATGTACAAAAAGAAGTCAAAATCAGATGGGTGGTCTGAAGATGAACTTGATTGCCTCTGGATTGGTGTTCGTAGACATGGAAGAGGTAATTGGGATGTTATGCTTAGAGATCCCAAGTTGAAGTTTTCAAAGTATAAAACATCTGAAGATTTGGCGATGAGGTGGGAAGAGGAACAACTCAAGGTCTTCCAGGGGCCAGCTTTTCCTGTGCCAAAACTGGCCAAGATGTCAAAGTCTACTAAATCAGCCCTTTTTCCCCTCTCTGATGGAATGATGGAAAGGGCCTTGCATGGGAGCCGGTTTATCTTGCCGCCAAAATTTCAAAACCATTTGACTGACATGAAACTAGGAGTTGGTGATCCTTCATCCAGTTTCTCACATTTTAGACCGCCAGATCGACCTCATTTTCAAAATGATCATTTCACACCTCTTCCTTCTTTTAATCACGATATAAGCAGAGCAAAATTTCCCATAGATGCTTCTGCTGAGCCATCTGATAGACCAGGGACTTCTTCCTATGTACCTGCCGAGAGGCCATTTTTACTAGATTCTTATGGAACCAGTTGCTTGGGTTCTCTAGGTTTAAATGGCTCAGGAAGCCTTAATAGGCAACAAAATGAGGATCAACATGGCACCAGTAAACTTGAAAAATCACCTGGACTTCTTGATGTGTCTTTTAATGATATGCTTGATACTCAAATCAATGCAGGAAATGGTGAATCTACTAGCTCTGTGTTTCCATCTAACCCTGTTAAAGGAGCTGAACCGTTGACCTCAAAATGTGAAGAAGGAGTTGGATGTAGTACTTCAAAAGACAAGCTTCCCCACTGGTTACGAGAAGCGGTCAGCTCCCCTGCTAAACGCTCTGATCCAGAACTACCACCCACGGTTTCAGCAGTTGCTCAATCAGTTCGCTTGGTTTATGGAGAAAATAAGCCCACAATACCTCCATTTGTGATTCCTAGTCCACCTCCTTCCCTTCCAGATGACCCCAGAGGTAGTCTGAGAAGAAGGAAAGTTAAAAGAACTCATAAGTTCAGTCAGGTCCTGCCAGAAGTTGCTGGGGACATTAATGACCTCAGGTCCTACAAGAAGAGGCATGGAAAATTTAGAAGATCTAGGTTCCACCAGAGGGGCCTTCCAGATGTTGCTGGAAGCAGCAATGACGTCCTCAGTGACCTCCACGTGGATGACAATGGTGCTTCATGCTCAACTCCTTTGGTCCCACCTCTACCTCTCCTTCCGCAGACAGGACTTCAGCAGATTGAATCTGGCCTCAATTCATTAAACCTGTCGCAGTCATCGACAAACCAACTTAGAAGAACAAGTAGCTTAGGACTTTCTCCTTCTGCTGAAGTGCTTCAGCTGGTGGCGTCCTCTGTTGCTCCAGGTCCACATGTCTCATCCATTTCTGGCTCTTCAAGATTTCCTGAGGGCAAGCTTCCATTGCCTAGGCCTATTAAGCCGGCGAAATTCAAAACCACCGAAGGTGCCTTTGGAAATAAGATGCCTAGGCAGACTTCACCAAAAATTTTGGGTACACATGAGGAGCAGCATAAAGTAGAGCACCCTGACAGTGGAGATTCCAGCAAGACTCAGTCAGATCCCTCTAGGACTGAACGGCCTGAACCTGATGAAGGGGAGGTATCATCTGAGGGGACGGTCTCAGATCACGGTTTAAGAGATAAGGAAACATAGATGTAGTGTCTCAGATAGAAATTGAGCAAAATATAAGTTCACGCTTCTAAAAGCTCTTCACCATTGCGCTAGAATTTTTGTAGGTATTAAGACGATGAGTGAACTAGAAATTACAGGGTGGTTGAAAACGTGTAAAGTTTTCGTCAAGGAAAATGAAATATAGCGTTCTGTTTGGTATTTCCTTTTTTGTTTCTGGTATTACGGTAGGGTATGATTTTCAAAGAAATCGAAATCAAGTTAATGAGAAAAATGTCTTTTCCTCATTCAACTATTTTGAGGTGCCGTTTGCTTTTGTAGATGTCCCATGTTTTTGCATGGCAATTTTTGCAAGTGAAATGAGGTTTCGTGTGCCCTCAGGAGAATGAGATTCATATTGCTGGACTTTATTTCAGGCTTCTTCATGCTACTGGGCCATCGCTTCAACGCATATTCATCCCATCTGTGAAAAATGTCGAGGTCTGAGGTTAGAGGATAAATTGGTTTTTTCTAGAGAAAATTATTATATTAACATTAATTAAAATTAATCAGTTTTGACGTGATTTGATTATTCCACTGAATGCCTACTCGTTTTACAAATGGCTCTCACAAGCTTACAACTAAAATTTTGAAATTTACAATTGAACCCTTTTTTTTTTTTGGTTCCCCACCCGGTTCACCAAAGCTTTGCTCTGACTACATCCAGATCCGACCCGCGTTGCGCACCTGGGTATGGTGGGTGAGTCTCCCAGCGGAGGTTTTCTGCATCCATGAGGAATCGAACTCGAGACCTCACTTAAGCGGAACCGAGCCGCTTACCACTCGGACCAACCCCCGTTGGTCAATTGAACCCTTTTGAAGCTGGGGTAATGAAGCTTTTTCACCCTCGCTCAAATTACAGTCAGTCCAGGAAGACTTAGTTGCAATTTTTTTATAAAATTTGGTACACTTATTTGTAAATAAATCCCGCATTTAAGACTTAAGGAGTGTCTGGTTATTCAAAAAAGGTGCCTTTCAAAAACGTTCTTACCTAAGACAGACAGAATTTTTTTTCGTCTGCTTACTTCATAAGCCTAAAATTACTTTTAAAATTATAGTTTGGTTTTTATCCAAACACTCCATTACACAGTTTTCCAAAGTAATATTAGTGGTAGAATCAAGTAAGGAATGCAAATGGTATTGTTTCCCCGGTTTTCAAATAATACTAAACCATAAAATAAGTCGTTGGCCTAAAAATATAAGTCATGCTTCTATAACTCATGAATAATATAGCTTTTATGAAATTTTTATTAGATATTTAAAGTATCTATACTTTTCGTGATTTTCAAAATACTACATATAGATTCTTCTTGATGTAAAAAGTAAATTGTATAACACTAAGCCTACAGATTCTCGAATGTGTTTTAAGAAGTTTGGAGTGAATTACATTAGTGATGATTGATGAATAATACTACATGTTTTGATTTAATTTGAAATAAACCAAAAATATTGTGCCAACTGCCAAGCGGTTTTAACACGTGAAAAATCTAACTAAATCTTACATTTTGTCACTTGTATCTAATTATTTATTTTGGGTTTGATTTGGTTGTTTCTGATAAATCAGTCTTGCTGGATATGAACAACCTTGTTCTGAAGTCTATATTTCATATTATATACTACCTCTCATCCTTAATATAAGAGCTAGTTAGCTAATTTGAGTAAATTAAGAAAGTTCGTTAAGTTAGTTATTTGCAATAAATGTTTTGTCTTTCCTAAAATACTTTTTTTTGTTAAGTTAGTTATTTACAATAAATGTGTTGTCTTTCTTAAAATATTCTTAATAACCATGTGTATTCGTTAGAACTACCATTTAACTGAATCTGTAACATGTATAACTGCTACACAGACTATTTTTAAATATATATATATAAAAGATAAAGTGGATTGAGGTTTTAAAAATTAAAAGTTAAACTAATTTTTATATTAAAAATAATAATAATAAATCAACAGCTAAGAAAGACATTTGAACTCATCATGTGGCGAGGAAATTTGACTGCCATTGTTCATCGAGAAACGGGTCAAATTAGACTTACATTTTAAAACGTTCGGTTTTCAGTAGCGTATATATCGAGCTCCGCATCCGATGTTTGCCAAGGATTATTCTAATATACATAATTAAAAAGAATAGTTTTAAAAATAATTTTTGTAATATCAAAAATTAATTATCTAACTTTTATATGAAATATAACAATTCTATTAAATAGTAAATATTATCATTCATTTTTCAAACTTTGGTAATAAAAAACCTACTTTGTTCATTTGGGTTACTTTATATGCAGAGGTGACTAATTATTTTTTTAAATAAATTACTCTTCTTGTTTTTAATATAAGACTTATTTAACTAATTTAAATAGGTTAAGAAAGTTAAATAAAGTTAGTTAATTATGAGAAATATGACTTTTTTTCCCTCTAAAATATCATAATCATCTTTCTTTAATATCTTTCTCCCTTTCCTACATGATTATAATTGAGGGAGTATTAATATGAATAATTTAAAAAAATTGATAAATATGAAAAATAAATTTTATATTAATGATTAAAATTAACTTAACAATTATATCCTATATTAAGTAGCGAAAGAATACTAAATTTGGATGGGCACATAGTTTTGGCTTTGGAAGGAGTGGGCATGTGGAGGTCAGCTACATTGTCCGAGCAAATCGTATTTTAATCAAATCTTACAGGCCAAAATGCGTGATTAATGGTCAACACAAACTCACATGCCTCTAACGTTAATACAGCTATTCATTTCTTTTCCCTCTTATTTTAAAAAACACTCGTCTCATTACTTTAATCCTGATCTTATTTATAAAACACTTTCAACATAAATAATTAATATGATATATATCTGATTACGAGGGTGTTTGGGCTAATTTTTTTTAGAGTGATTTTAAGGATTTTGAGGCAAGTATACGAGAGAGATTTTATTTTAATTTGTGTTAAAATATTTTTTTAAAAAGTGATTTTGAAAGGTTGCCAAACTTCCCCCACATTATAAAATCAGTAGTGAGTTGTATAGTTCAGCGAAAAGGTGAGTTTATTTTCTGAAATTTTGCGTGATACGAGGGCATTACTGTTCTTCAACCCTGGAATATTATTATACTTTTTTCATTTAATTAAAATTGAAAATCGACAGTATTTCTAGATAAAATTATCATAAGAATCTTATTGCCATGGAATCGACAACTAATTTCTGCAAGGCATGTTTTGCACAGGAAAAATTTTGAAGTTGCACAAAATTTATATTTTAAATACTGCATAAGATTTAATTAATAAAGTGAACAATTATTTATTTAATAATAATTCATTTCGAGAATTCTAAAACTGTGCCCCTTTTTTTAGCTCCGAGGTCTTTTATATAAGGTACTTTTCTGGTCCTAAATATAAGACCTTTATACTGGTCCTAAATATAAGACCTTTATACTGGTCCTAAATATAAGACCCTTAAATCTACTAGTATAAAGGTTTTATATTTAGGACCGGAGGAGTATCTTTTACCTATGTCTATTGTATTGTATTTTCTTTTAGGCCAACTTAAGGTCTAATTCTATATTTTATTTTTAAATATTACTTTTAAAGTATGGCATAAAAAAATGTTAGTACCTCCGAAGCAGCCTGGTGAGTGGTGAGGTTATTTCAGATTATAAAATAATTAATGACCTTCTAAAGTCCAGTTTCTTAAACTGTATTTTAGTGCAATTAATCCTTAATTAAACATCAAAATCATGAATCTATTGTGAAAACTGAAGTTGCTATATAAAGGAAAAACCAAGACTCTTTGGTTGTTTGTCTCCTATCAAAACATATATGAGTAACGTCTAGAATCCCAAACTAACGGGAACGGGTGTAGTACAAGAGTATTTTATAACACGGTGAATCAAAATTCAAATCTTTATTAATAAGGTATTCATATTTAGTGTCTGAGATTATCTTCTAATAAAAAGATAATCATGCTTAATCCAAAAAAAAAAATCTCAAATAGTAAAGATACTTCAGTCATCTCTCCGTGACAAGAATTTAAATCCAACTTCGTTACCTTGTTTCAACTTTCAAGGGGTCATCTAGTTTTCTCTTGTGAAAACCATGTCATGGTCGATATTACCTATGTTTTAATTTTTAGAAAGGATTAATAAAATTTTTAGCGTTTTAAGTTTATTTTTATTTTGATTTTAATTTCTCAATTTTAAACCATAAATTTTGGTTTCTTAGGTTTTTTTTAAATAATATTAGTCCTTATAATCTAACAAAAATCTGGATGTTTTACTCTTTAGGAGATTAAAATTTATGTTTTGAAACTTAAAAGACCAAAACTAAAATAAAAATAAATTTAAAGCACCAAATATTATATTATCATTTTTAGAAATAATAAATAAATTAATTGAATTATTCCTCTTAACAGTTAACATCCCTGCTGTACGACCCAGCAAAAGGAATAAACTCAGAACTTCATTAATGATTTTCATGAGCAAAAATAATTATACAGGGACTAACTTTTGAAAACGAAAACCTAATAAATCTGAAAGTACAGTATAATAAACCCATCTTTACCATTGATGAAGGCACATGTTGTAGATATGAATCCAGTCAAAATGGTAAAAACTGGGAAAATTAAAGGAAGGAAGAAACTTAAGATCTAACAGAAATTGGAATTGATATATCACGTTCTATTTTTTTTTGGCCTTTATACATTCGTTCTAGCTTCTCGCCAGGATATAATTTCTGCGACTAGTGAGAGCCTCCTGCAACTACAGGAATAATCGGACAGGAAGAAGATCTCTGTGGATTAGCCGCAAACCTAGAGGAGAATGCATAGAACTTATAGTAATCTTCATCTAGCAAGCTTCCGCATCCACTTCTTCCGTCGTCGAAGTTCAAAGAATAGCTCAACGGATCGTATCGGCATTGGAACGAACCTCGTCGGCTCGAAGATCGCAGAGGTTTGCTACGGCGGCGCCTCTTCAGTTTTCTCATCAGTTTCGTCACCAGACAGCAGCAATTGCATCTCGAACTGCTGCTACCGGCGGAAATCGCGGCGGCGGCGGCAGTGGTGGCGGGTTCCTCTTCCGCCTTGACGGCGGCGGAGGAAGAGGAGGTGGTTCTAGGGCACCAGAGAGGCCACATCTGAGTCATGGAGCGTTTTGAGTTGAGGGCCACAGAGGGAGTGTGATTGTAGCGTAAAAAGGGACTGGGAGATTCTTGAGACATGCATTCTCTCCTTGACTGTTATATTTATAGACCCATGAGGTGTTTTCTGACGCGCCAACGCGGAGCGTATAGTGAAGTCATAGTTTTTAAAGATCCATTAATACTATGATTCTCTTGTACTATGATGATGATTAGTTCGCCTCAACGAAGAGAATTTAAATAGTCATTTTATCAGTTGCCAACTACTCTGGAGTTTTAAAGAAATTCAAGTTGAGTCCTGTGCAGCTTCCTAAACTATTTTTTCAGTCGGACATCCTAAACTAATTGTAATTTATCTAATATCGTAAAATATTTTGATAAAAGTTATTCCTTTCGGTTCTGCTCAAAATTTGGTCTCCATAATAATCTTACATTTGAGGTTAAAATAAAGTCTTACTACCTCTTATCCTTAGTATAAGAGTTAGTTGACTAATTTGGATAGATTAAGAAAACTAGTTAAGTTAGTTATTTATAATAAATAAGTGTTGTTTTTCTTAAAATATCCTTGTTAATCAAGTGTATTGGTTATAGCTACGATTATTACAAGGACTACATTGAGAAAAAAGGTAAATACAAGAGACAAAATATATTAGAGTATTATATTTAAGATCAAAATAAAAATTAAATTAGCTTTTATATTAAAAATCGAAGATAGTATAATCACTAAAAATAAGTCATTTGTTCGAGAAACTAAGTTTTTTTTTAAGACTTGTTTGGAGCTAGACCAAGGAATAAAGTTAAATTTGGAATCTTTAGATCACTTCCAAAAACATTAATTTTATATTTCATGAGATAAAATTAATCCCATCCCGCCTGTTCTTCTTGATATCATAGCTAAATAACTAAATTATTCTCTTTAATTATATAGATTAGAACTTTTGCTTGATAAAAACATCTTATAATTAATAGGATTATTTTGAAAAAAAAATTATAAATTTAAAAGACAAAATGAATTACGGTCATATATTTATGACTAAATCTAATCCCTTAATTAATTCTTGTATGTAAGACTGGTAGTATTTATTTTACGCAATGTAAAATCACTCAAAATAATAAGTTAAATCAAACGCTCCTCAACGAGGGTGAGGTTCGGAATCATGTAGAATATATAAAGATGAGAGAGTGAAGTTGAGATGTTGTAAAATATGCATAAATGGAGGAAGGTGGAGAAGATGAAAGAATAATGAGTGGGAGGGGTAAATAGGTAATAAGGGGGTGAGTAGGATGGCATCATTCACGTGAGTGAGATGTGAGAAATTCGTAATGATAACGTTGGCAATGATGGGGGGGCCTGATCTCACCCCTGCCTCTCCCTTCCCTCCATGTCTCATTCTCTCTGCCTCCCTCTCTTCTTTTCATTGTACCCGTTCTCCCTTTTCAAGGTCACATCCAAACTTACCCCAATTAAATCTCGCAAATGATCATCTGGACCTCCTGGGAGAGGAGGGCCCTACGTTTAGCCCTCAAGTGTTTTCCTTTTGCAAGCTCACTTTAAAATTACATTTCTTAAAAAATACTTAAATAAAATTTAAATTGTTTTTAAAAATAATTTTACTGCATGCAAAATAAATATATAAAAAAATTTATCTCGATTTATAAATAAATGTTTTTTAAAAACATTTTTCTCAAATAACAAACACCTTGTAGTCTATAACACTTTGCTGTATTAGTGTTGATATTTGCTCATCCCCTACATGTAAATGAAGCCCCCAATTTTCAGCTGGTGTTAGAATGCCAGCACTCACTTAGAAAGGCGGCAGGGCACTTTAAAAATAGTTTTTTAAAATAGTAAGTTATCAAATACGAAATAAATACGTAAGAAAAATTTTGTTTCGATTTATATATTTATAAATGATTATGTTAAGTAAAGATCAATGTGTAAATTTGTTCTGAAAATTTTCAGCTCAGTAGCACTTAACATCCAAGAGTTGTTTCAGATGCAAGTTTACTTTGAAAGCTTAAAATCTTAGTAATATTAATAGTTAATGTTACTATTTTTAACGATGAACATTATTTTTTTTAATGATACTATCTCCGGTCTTAATTATAAGAACGAGTTGACTAATTTAAGAAGATTAAGAAAATAAGTTAAGTTAGTTATTTGTAATAAATATGTGGTCTCTTTCCTAAAATATCCTCACTAATCAAGTGTATTAGCTAGAACTATCATTGTTAGAACGACTATGTTGGAAAAAAATATATAAATATGAGAGATAAAATGGATTAGAGTTTTATATTTAGGATCAAAATAAAAATAAAATAAAATTTTATATTAAAGACAAATGCACCACACTTTTAAATGAAAATTTTGAGAATTAAACGGACCACTCCACATTGGCCCTCCCTGTGTGACTCTGTGAGGGAGAGACTGGGAGTGGAGTTCATTTGGCATGGCATTGGAAAGTTGGTTGGAAGACAAGGTCGCCGTCACCCAGTGGCCAGTGTTGAGTGTCCAGACAAACAATTTGACTGAAACTCAAAACGCCTCGATTTAGGCAACTTGCTGGGTCCCACTCCGACTATCACCATCCGTCTCTTTTCTTAAAGAAATCATTCGCCTCAGTACTACTGTCACACTGCCATCCCTTTTTTTTTCTTTTAAGAAAAATTGCAAATAAAAACCTCTAAATATATAAAATTATGATTTGATACCTTAAATTTAGAAAATAACAAATAAGACCCGATCTCACTTTTGCAAATATAAAATGTGGGCGAAATGTGTAAAATACTCCTCAGCCAAATGATAAGTTAACTATGAGAAATGACAAGTTCACTTTAACAAATAACAATTTTAGTAGACCAAATATTTATTTGGCTGAGAGTATGCCAAATGACGAGTTAACTATGGGAAATGACAAATTCACTTTAGCGAATAAAAACTTTAGTAGACCAAATTATAATTTGGCTTAAGGATATTTCAGACATTTCACCCACATTTCATATTTGTACAAATGAGACCAGGTCCTCGTTTGCTATTTTCCAAATTAAATCTCAAATCATAATTTTATATATTTAGAGTCTTTATTTGCAATTTTTCCTTCCTTCTTCCTCTCATAATAATAATAATAATAATAATAAACATTTGCTTTGACCACATGCTTTGTCAGATCAATCATGTTCTGCCCCCGGATTTTACCCGCTTGTTTACTCCCTCCTCTCAAATAAGTGCTGCTTGTGTAGTATATTTTAATATGTTTAATTTTCATGTAATAATTATAAATGACATAAATTAACCTAATTTTTTAATGTCCAAAAACAAATTAACCAGAGGTTAGATTTAATAACAAAAGATTATATTATTCAAATCCCATCCAATGATTCGCGCTCATTTTATTTTAGGGGAAAAAAAAACTCCTTTCTATTTCTTTTACAGCAGTGAAGTTATTATGGTATGCGTCAGTGGGGAAGTACTCTGCACGTCAGTATAATTACATAAACAAAGAAAAACTTCAACCAAAAAAAAAAAAAGTTATGAGCTTCTGAAAAACAGAAAAACTTTAAGTCAGAAAAGGAAATTTATGTGAAGATTCTCCTTAGATTTGACTCCATAAAAAATGAGCTCAATAGGACGTGATGTGTGAATTCAAAAGGGCATCGCAAGGCATCAGGAAGAAACATGCTTTGAGACAATGGCTGTACAAAGACAATACAATGGACAAAGATTTTATTTTATTTTTATCTAATGCCATATATAATATTTGACCTTTAAAAGTTCATCTTTTTATTTACAAACCTAATCTTCATCAGTATTGATAAAAATGTTTTTAATTAATACAAAATATTATAAACAATATAATCCATTTTTTCACAGGTATAGATATCATTCTGTTAAAAATAATTTTATGTGAGACACTATTAAATATTAAGAGGTATTTTTTTTTGGCCAAAGATATTGAGGGGGCATTTAAAAAACCCTATAAGCACTTACAACTACTTTCACGTAAACTAACTTGTATATCATCAAATCATATTTAGAGAGTGATTGAATATAAACTAAATCATTATTGTAAAAATATTTTTAAAGTATACAGAATAAATATGTGAAAAAATTTACATCGTTTTGCGAAAAAGTATTTTTTACTTTTTAAGTTTCCTAAACACCCCCTTAAGAGATGTTTGAAGAACACCAAAAGCATTTTTACAAAAATTTTTTTTGCATGCTTACCTCATTTATAGTGAAATCACTTCCAATGAGAATTTGAAACTGATATAACTCATTTTCCAATTTATTAGCCTGAACATGAACAGTTTGGGTCAGATTTCTGTTGTCCAACATGCAAAAGCTGTAGCCTGTAGGGCTTAACTTTGAGGGTAGTTGCTAGGTGATATGTTATGAATAATGGGCCCAAGGATTTTGGGCCTAGGCCCGTTTTCATTAAAAAGGACGGTCAGGGAAAATCCTTCATGGATAAGCTATACCATATCTCACTTTATCTACTCATTATTACTGCTATTATTTTTAGTTACCTATTTTTCATTTATCTGGTTTTCTCTCTCGGGGTGTAGTTTTCTCCTCCTTGAGGGTTCGAACTAGAGGTCGGTAGGGTATCGCCGTCTCGTTCTCCTCTTCTAATTTGCCAGGGTCGAGCTACTGAGCAATCCAGAGCGCCCCCCCTCTCTCTTACAGAACCGGAGCATTTTCTGTCCCGTGGTCCCTCATGGCAGCTGCGGCTACAGCGTCGGTGGTGCCGGCTAACCGGCGGCGGATCACGAATCCGCAGGAGGATTTGGAGTTCGAGACGACGGAAGGCGTAGAGCCTATCTCGAGCTTCGAGAACATGGGTATCAAGGAGGATCTTCTCCGAGGCATCTATGCCTATGGCTTCGAGAAGCCCTCGGCAATCCAGCAGCGAGCCGTCAGACCTATTATTGAAGGACGGGATGTTATAGCTCAGGCCCAATCTGGTACTGGCAAGACGTCTATGATTGCCCTCACCGTTTGCCAAGTCGTCGATACTTCTATGAGAG